TTTTTTTTTTTTTTTTTTTTTTTTTTACTCTTCTTCTTCTGATCTTCCATGTTGCTTTAGTTAGTTTCAACATTCCAGTGCTACACCCTCTCATTGGCTGAAACATTTCTGCTGTAAGGTGATTGATTGCTTGCCAATTTTGACTTTTGTAACTAACACTTAATATTGTTTGTCATCAATGCATCATTTTCTGTTATACACGTTTTTGGAGCAAACTGTGTGTCTGGTATATTAATGGATGAAAGCTTTAGCATGATCATTTAACCTATTGCATAATTCACAATTCAAAAAGGTTATTTCTCTTATCAGTCTGGAAAGAACTGTCTCTCTGCATGCATATCTTCTCATATTTCTGATTAATGCTAATTCAGTAAGACCCTGCTCCCTTTAAAGTTTTACTGAAATTTTACTGAAGGAAAATATTAAAATATGCACTAGTTCAGGACCAGGACATGAAGAATCTCATAGCCAGTCCCTGTCCCTCTTAGTTTAGGGATTTGCTTCTGTTTCCACTGAACTCAGTGTTAAATGGGGACAGTAAATGTTTACTTGGTTTTGTGTTGCACTTCTTAGACCTCTGGATGAAATGTGAATCAATTACTCGATATTCATCTGGATAAAAGTTAAAGCACCTGGGAGGAAATAAAGCAATAAAAATTCCAATACCAGAAAATAAAGATTCTTTGGGCAGGTGCTGCTTATTTTCAAGAAAATTATTATTTTTTTAATATTGTACTGTCAGACTTGTTTAACTGGAGTGTTTGATTCAAATTGTTTGTACTAAGATCAGCTCTAACTATGCCCATTAGTAACTTTGGATGTTTTTTGATGAATTGGTAACAGATTTGTCTTGCTGCATGTTGAGTTACCCTGTTCCATGCAAGGGAAGGGCTTGTGAGAGGTTTTTTTATACATGCCATGAATAGTTGAATTAAAGGAAAGGCAAGATTATTCCCCACGAGAACCTTGGGCCTGCATGTGGATCCACTTGCATGGAACCCTACACCCGTAAGTTTCGCTTGAAATTGTTGTCCGTGTGGCAAGTCCGATTGAATAAGCAGGCCCTTTGCCAGCTCATGGAAAGTGCTCTCAAGAAGACTTGTAAGGAGGTTGCAAGCCTCCCTTGCTGAAATGCTCCTTTCCTCATGCCACCCTGAGAATAAGGAAGGGGAATGCAGGATCAGATGCACAAACTTGTGACCTTCCCCCTGCTGCCTGTATGTTGATATTACTAAATTAATGACATTTCAATGAGCTGGTATCCTAAACCTCTTAAGAGAACTAATCGCTCTTAAAACAAAAACAGTTAGCCCACCTGCCCCATCACCTATAATTAGAAAAGAAAGCAAGAACTTTCTACATTACAATTTTAATGTCATTTCCTAGACCATAAGGGAAGGACAAGTGTTTTATATAAAAGTTAAGAATTCATATTTTTATTTTATTTTTTGTTTTTACTAAACTCTGCATGTATCAGCAAGATGAGGTTTGTGAAGTAAAGGTCACTCATTTCAAATTGCTTTCCGTTCCTGTGTTTCTTTAACTTCTGTTGCAGAGTCTCCATATATTTAAAGAATGCCAGCAAGGATTCTGTCCTTCTCTTCCTTAAACCTTCTGCTTCCTCTTTGTGCTTCCTGACCTTAACTGATTGATTTATTACTATTGTTGTTATTATGATCTAGTTCTTTTTTTTTAAAAAAAAGTCTGTATTTGAATTGTCACTTGGAAAGTCTGTATTTTGCACACAGTGAAAGTTGTTTAGTTTTATTTATGGCATTTGCTGTAAATGAAAATAAATGTAGTTCTTTCTAAACTTAATTGTATCATCTCTTCCTTTTTAAAAAACTGATTCTTCTAAAGACATGAACTGAATGGCAGCTATTCAGATTCATTTTCCATGTTCTGCTTCTGTTGGATGCT